TACGGGCTTAGAATGTCCTCCCCGATTCGAATACCTCATTTATTCATTTTCAGGATACCGAAGGCACAGACGCGAAACTGTTTTTGGAAGTGGCAGCCGGTTTCGACGATATACCATTTGGCATCACCACAGAAAAGGATGCGGCCAAAGAGATGGAACTCAAAGATGAGGGTATCGTGCTGCTGAAGAAGTTTGATGAGCAACGAGCGGAGTTTGATGAAAAGTTAACGGTTGATTCGCTGAAGGCGTGGATTCAGGTTTGCTCCGCATAAATTTTTTGAGACTTTTTCTATTGATCTATTTGTTATTCATCCACTAAAGCGTTCCTATTCACTGCCAATGTGAGACGAAGGCTTTCGGGGAGTGTCAGCAGCAGTCATTCGCTGGTAAGTCATCCGTCGATGGCTCCCTGTTTCGAGGATTACTTTCAAGCAAGCTGGTGACAAATATGTGAAATGTGTAATGCATAATTTTGGTCATTTTTATAAGTAGCAATTCATTCTCTTTGTTATTTTTGACTAAGAGGTAGCTCTCTGTAGGCTGATGGTACCCAAGCTGCCGATAATTTACTCTTCTTCCTTCCTTTCGCTGGAATAAGTATCACCGCATAGGTTCATACTACACTGCGATGCTACAGTGTTTTCTGTGTTTGCTAACATTCCATGGCTTAAAATTGGGTGCTCGTGGTGCTGAAGATTGAGGGTGAGAGAGCCATAAAACAGCGAAGTAATAGTTTGATGCAACTGCACTGTAAGATAGAGTTGTATTAACAGTCTTTCTTTGCCGTGCGATCTTGCCATAATCATGGAATTGTTGCAATTTTCAGGCTCAGAGGCTGCCACTTGTGAGCGAATTTACACAGGATACAGCTCCAGTGATTTTCGGCGGGGAAATCAAATCGCACAATCTTTTGTTTGTTTCAAAGGAAAGTCCCGAATTCCAGAAGCTCGAGAAGGAGTTCCGAGCTGCTGCTCAACAATTCAAAGGAAAGGTGTGTGTGTGTTTTTCAATCAACAGCCAATGGGTATGCTCTAGTAAAGCGTGTTTAAGCCAGTTGTAGCAATCAGGTTGACTCTGAAATCCTAGATGGCGAAGGCGCAATAGATTGCAGCATGTAAGGGCAGTATGAGAAGAAAAGATAAGATTGAGATAAGACGTTTCGGCCCATTAAGTCATATAAAGTGCTACTGGGCTTTTTCTCCTGGAAAGTGTGAGCTAGTTAAAAAAGCGATGTAACAATAAAATGCTTGAAGCTGTTAAAATTCACACTTCACACGTAGGACACTGGCATTCACGTGAAACCCGGATGATCGATGCGCTTTTTAGAACAAGCAGTTAGCTTTTCCTGAGAGTCCTCTGGCTCAGTCCTCGCCGTTCTGAGTCAGAGCTATGGTGCAAATGTTGCCCCAGCTCTGTGCACTGTCATTACGCCTTACATCCTTAGTGAATCCAGTTATGGATCTCGAGAAACATGCTTTAGGGCAAAGGAAATTGTCGTTAATAAAACGGAATGAACAACTAGGAAAAAACCTCATTCCAAAAGGAGTATTCGATACCTTAAGGTTAAATTTAAATAGTTTGGTATATAGTTCATGCTTGGAGCCCGAACCAGTTGTGTCGCGTTCGTTCCAGATGAGGTATTTTGTTGTTTTTGTTTTTGCAGGTCCTCTTCATTATCATCAATACCGACGTGGATGACAATGCACGTATCGTTGATTTCTTCGGTCTCAAAAAAGATGATTTGGCAGCATTACGACTGATCAATCTTGAGGAAGATATGACCAAATTCAAGCCCGAATTCAAGGATTTAACGACCGCGAATATTGTCGAGTTCACACAGATGTATCTGGATGGCAAACTGAAGCCACATCTGATGACGCAGGAAATTCCCGATGATTGGGATAAGAATCCAGTGAAGGTGCTTGTTGGGAAGAACTTCGACAGCATCGCAAAGGATACCAAGAAGAGTGTTATCGTTCTTTTCTGTACGTATCCGGTTTTCTTGTCCATGATAGTTCATTTATTTCAGGTCTTCAGGGTGGACTCCCAGTGCTTCTGTTTCCCACGTCGGCAGTATTTTTTTATTCAGCTTTTATGATCTACGTGTTTTTTTTTGAAAAAATCCAGAATAGTTTGCTCTGTTAGCTGGATGAGGACAAGAATTTTAAATCC